GGCTCTGTGACTCTGGCATGTTTCCCATCCCTTCCATGAGGACTCTAGCAGTAGACTGCTCTTGTGTCAATAGCAATTATCAAAAATCAGTGTCTTCCAGGTGGAAAGGGGAGAAGGAACCACAGGACTAAGCTACCATATATGTTACACAGTAAGGGTAAGGCCTGCAACTGCAGCCAGGGGAGAACCACCATGAGGTGAAGGCTTTGTACTATGATACCAGTATAGGTTAGGGTTGACCTGCTGGAAAGCAGCTCCATGGAGAAGGACCTTGGAGTCCTGGTAGACAATGTTATCCATGGGACAGCAATGTGCCCTGGTGGCCAAGAGGGCCAATGGTATCCTGGGGTGCATCAAGAAGAGTGTGACCAGCAGATCGAGAGAGGTTATCCTCCCCTGTATTCTGCGCTCATGAGGCCTCATCTGGAATATTGTGTCCAGTTCTGGACTCCCCCATTCAAGAGAGACAGGGGAACTTTTGGAGAGAGTCCAGCGGAGGGCTATGAAGATGATTAAGGGACTGTAACATCTCTCATACTGAGGCAAGGCTGAAAGACCTGGGGCTGTTTAGTCCGGAGAAGAGAAGGCTGAGAGGGGACCCTATCAATGTCTATAAATATCTGAATGGTGGCTGTCAGGAGGATGGAGCTGGTCTCTTTTCAGTTGTGCCCAGTGACAGGACATGGGGTAATGGGCATAAACTGCAGCACAGGAAGTTCCACCTCAACATGAGGAAAAAGTTCTTTACTGTGAGGGTGACAGAGCACTGGAACAGGCTGCCCAGAGAGGTTGTGGAGTCTCCTTCTCTGGTGGCCTTCAAAACCCGACTGGACGCATTCCTGTGCAATCTGCCCTAGGTGATCCTGCCTTGGCAGGGGGTTTGGACCAGATGATCTTCAGAGGTCCCTTCCAAACCCTACCATTCTGTGATTCTATGATACTGGACAGGGCTTCAAGCCTAGGCTTGGCTGGAGATTCCCTGGGATAAGCCCCTGTGCTTACATTGTCTTCTTTTACAGTAGGGAGAGAAAGCTGTAGGAACAGAATTCCTGAGCAGTGATGCTATGGAAATACCATATGGTGGGAGGTGTAGGTGAGAGTATAATGCAGCTTCTGGTAGCACCAAGCAGGCAGAGGCAAGCTAGCTGCCACCAGCTGAACTGGGTACATCCAGCATCATACACAATTCACAAGTTCCAGTTCCTCTTTGACTTTGAGATAATTTATTAGATTTTTCAGCATTAAAATGTGACAGGCAGTATAAAAACTTTTAACTGTATTTAAAAACACTGATTCTTTAAAAACACTGATTCTTTAAAAACACTGATTATCTAAAAACTCCCAGCATGGCTAGGAGTTAAGGAGGTAAGCGCTTAAAAAAAAAATCTAAAGTTCTCGTCACAGCTTCTTTGGGTCGTTTTGCATTAGGTCCTGCTGGAGCCTTGGGCTTGTTCTTTGCCTTGGCAGGAGACCTGGAAGCTGCAGCCTTTGGGCTGGGAGCTGTTGCTGGAGCTGTGGGAGCAGTGGGCTCCAGGAGGGAGCTCTGCAGCTCCAGAGCAAAGTGATAGTCCATGTGCTCTGGGAACTCCCACACCAGCACGAGCTGGCCACACTTCTCACAGCGCTGCTGGTCCCCTGGCGAGGCAGGAGGGAGAGAGGCAAGCTCAGGGAAGAGTGGCAAATTCTGCTCATTTCCCTCCATAGCTGGTTCTAATTTCAGAAGGGTCCTGGAGCTGGGCGGAGTTGATGGTGTTTGTGTAGCATTAGGCAGTGACTTCTCACAGGGAAACCTCTTGTAAGGAGAAGTAGGGCTCCCATCTCTGGGACTCGGCTTCACAGGGGACTCCAGGTCACACTGCACAGAGGCAAGTGCAATGCCATCTCTCTCCTGGTGCTCTGGAGAGCTGGGCACAGGTGCCTCTGCAGTGGTAGCAGTGGGCAGGCTGGTCACTGCCACCGTCTGTGACTGCTGCCTTTCTGCTGCCTTTTGGAAGAATGACTCAATAGCATTAGCTGGCTTTTGTCTAAGCTCTTTGCTTGGGCTTCTAAAGAACTTGACCCTCGGCCGTCTAGAAGATGTGGTGGTGGCAGTGCCATCAGGCTGCGTA